ATTCTCCTCTCATTCCCTTTCAGGCTCTGACAAAAGGACATCAAGTCTCATTTCAGTGCTCTATTCAAAGAGCTCCTGGTTTTACCTATGCAGGTTCCTGACACCGGTGCCAACAATTCCACTCCCCAAAACAGATCCAAATAAGCAGATCAATCATGTCTCTCTTCCTTCAGTTTGGGAGTCTTCATCACTTGCCTGTGACCAGTCGAGATATGTAATACTTGCCAATAGTGGCTTCTCCATGAGTACTCAGCCATTAGTCATTGAGAGCATAGTTTCCCTTCAACCTTAGTTTTTAAATTGGAGGTTAAACTGGATAATGTCCTGGCTTACCTTTGGTCTGAGGACTCCTCCCTACCCAAGGAGGTCCTCATGAAGCAGGCCAAAAACTCTGCCTTTGACAGATTTATAGATGCTAGGACTGTGCAGAAAATGCTCCAGAATCACTCCTTGGCATTCATCTTGTACTGTACTTGGGCAGAGCTGCAGAGCATTGAAGAGCTCGTGATAGAATGTCCAAAACCATGCTGGAGTGCATGTAGTCTTTTTAAGGGCCAGATGCTGCCTGTCACTGGGGAAACAGTATTCCCACCTAAAGCAATGCATGTACGGAACCTCAAGGAGCTCAGAGAAACCACCAATGATATGGGGGGAGGGGGAAAAAAAGAAAAAAAAAAAAAAACAGGACCAATGGAGCCAGAAGAAATTGATCCTACGTAAGCCATGTAACAAGAATTTAAAGATCCACTCCTAGGTCTACTGGAATACCAAACCTGGAGCCCGGCAGTTGTTAAAGTATGTGACATGCTAATATACACTTTCCATGTTGATCGGCTAATCTTCATTTTGCCTTACGTTATTTTATTACAATCTTGCCTACTGCAAAAAGGTCCCTTATCAGTAAGGGAAGAGCAACCCTTATTCCGTCTAGTAACTTCCACTTGATCCCTGAGAGATACCACAGGTACACAATCATTTTCATTCATTGTAAGTAGATTTTATTGACTGGAAAGTTGGATCCTTTTTTCCCTTCCATCATATGGAAAAGAATGGATGGCTTGCTCCCTGGAGAGGGGCTATACATATTCTGTTTTTCAACCTAAATGTCATTTTCCCTATCATCTCCACTGATATCTTAAGAATTGGCAGCTGAATCTGTAGTGTTGTCGGTAACTGAAAAATTCCCATTGCTTACATTAATACCGTGGCCAGAAGCAGCATGAAAATTGCCAACCAGTCAAAGGTGCACCGGTGTAGGTTCCCACATGTGATTTAAGCGGGTGCACCATCTTGGTACAGTTGGTTGCAAGATAATTGTCTTAGTTTAAACAAAATCTGAAATAGATCTGCATGGTTTTCTTGGTGGGAATATTTGCCTGTTTTGCCCATATTCAGTGATTCATTCCTTTCATATTTTATAGGTTATATTATGGCCACAGCCTCCAGCCAGGAGGAATAAGATATTCAGGAGGAGGCAGAGTCTGGTATTGGTGTGAGCTCCAAGATCTGACTCGCCCTGTAGGGATTCAAGTGGCAATAATACAGAGCTTTCATTTGAAAAGGGAGGAAAAATGCTTCCATATAAAAAGGAGCTTATACAATCATTCAACATGTAGACTCTGAAGAAGAGCGTGAAGTACACCTTGCTTTATTCTACTGTTTGTCTGGTTATGTAAATATGGGAAACTGTTCCCTAGAAGAAAGTATTTATTCTGTAGAAGTAAACAGGGGCTGTTTTAGGAGGAGCAAGGCCTCTATCTTAATTAGGGAATCAGGCAGACAACTGTCACTCTTTCGGAGTGAAAACCGCAAGGTAAAGCACAATGCCACCTGCTAGGCATCCAGGAGGGAATGTAAAAAGCTTCACTTAACCAAGAGCTTTGGCATCTCTTGATTGAGGAGCTTGCATTTCATTATTATCCAGGGGAGATGGAGTTGATAGGTAAATACCCAGGCATAGAAGCCCTAATAAGTTGATAAATTAAACTCATCTGGACTTACCAAATGCCATTTAATCCGTACAAGTTGGCAATCTGACAGTTCTTTGATTTGTTCCTTCGGGTATCCTGAAGTGTACATTCCTTCCTGATCCACCTAAGCCAGGACATCAGTCTGGTCGGAGGCCATGAATGGACAAAGGTGACACTGTAGGTGATGCTGAAGGGCTATACGTCTCAAGTATTAGCTGCGTAGGGAAAACTTTCAGAAGAAAAACTGAGCAATGTTGGTGTTGGAAAGTTTTCCATTAAAACACACACACACAAACTGGCTATTTTTCTGAGTATAGATAGTCCACTTTGAGTTCAATTGTCTGAGATCACTCAGCCTGGATGCTAGATGTCAGGTCCTATAAAAATGCCCAATTAGTAGCCATCTCCAGCTCCAGCTCTGAAGGCCGACCTGGTCTTCACTATAAAAGTAGCTTGATAACAGAAGAAAGGTGGCCTGTTCCCAAGAGGAAGAGATCAGGTATTCAGCCCTGGCACTGCTGCTTGGCCACTGTGTGCCTTTCAGCAAATTATTAACCCCTTTCGATTGCTTCCGAATCAGACGAGATCATGTGGATGACTCTCTGTCAGCCTCCCTCTTCTCTTCTGTGAAATGGAGATCCCACACCACACTTACCTCGGGGGTTACTGTCAGAAACTCACATAGAGTGTGGCACATAATGGGCTCACATTTAAGGGCAGTTCCTCTCCCCAAGCACCATCCCCACCTCACCCTTGGTGAAGCATTCCACCTTGATTTGTATTCTTTTTAGTCGCATTTCTAAGACAGAATCTAATCTCATCTCGATTTAACCTGGCTCCCCTTTTGCAATCTCCTAGTTAAAAAAAAAAAAATCCAGAGAAGTCTCTTATTCCTTCTTCTGATATTCTTTGAAAAGACTTGTCCTTCACAGCGGAGATACTTACCTTTGAGGGGCTGGGTTCCTTCCTTGCTGTGAAGTACTGAGTTTTATTTCAGAACCAAAGGACATAAACTGGTTTATACATGAGTAGGTTTAGACAGTCTGCAGAAGACAGGGTGGAGATCACATGTTGTATTTACTGACCATCCTGGACCAAGGTTGTACTTATTTTGAAAAAAAAAAAAAATGATGTTTTGTCATAATGATAGTTTCATCTTTCATATCTTTAAGTGGGTGGGGAATGAAAGGACATTTGATTTCTCAGTTTCTCAATGACTCTGTGTTGGTAATATACACTTTGTTTCAGCAGGATGCCCGCAGGATTCTTAGGTAAGTCTGAGTCATGTTGTGTACATGTGGTTTGAGGGTTCAAGCACCTTGTCTTCCTTAGCATTTGATCGTTCATTTTATTGTTATAGGGAATGGTAGCCAGGTATCTTTTCTCTATTGTCTGTCATAAAGCCCTTTAGAATTCAAATTTGCTCTTGTGAACGTCTGGTATTCCAACTTTGGAAACACTGGCCATAGGAAAAAATGTTCTTACTCAAACTGTCTAATTGAGAAATAATTGGCCCATGCCTACCTGCTTCATAAGTTTGGGGATAGTGGTGCTGTAACGTTTTCCTCATAACACTAAAATTCCTGTACAAGTATCTGATCTTAAAATTCTATACATACTAAAGGGAACGATCATGGAAAGGAGGCGAGTGGGTTTGTGTGTGTCTGTGTGTGTGTTTTCTCCTTTTTCTGGCATAGTTTTCATTTTAGAATGTTAGTTCTATCACTTAATAAAATTTCATTCTTCTTTCAGTCAACACATAATCTTATGTCTTTTCCAAATCTTGACAAATGTCACAGACCTCTTTATAGAGCTAGCCACAGTTCTCAGACATGCTAGTCTGTCCTCTGTGGACTTCGCAGTATAGGGAAGAGAGAATGTGAGCAGGCAGGAGAGGACTGTTAGACTCTAAGGCACCTTCCTTTCAATCTAGTGGCAAGTTGTATCCTTCGCGTGCTCCAGGGCAGATAACCTGATGCATCCTGGTTCCTTCTTCACACAGCTCAGCACAGAGGAAGCAGGCACATCTATGAAATCACTATTAAAATCTGGTTGGCTCTTCAGTATGACTAAAACATGGTGACACATCCATTTCCAAATAAACTATACCGCTTCTTTCTTCTAACGTCATCTCAGCTCACTGCTTGTAAGCCACACTAATCTTTGCAATTTTAATGATGGGAGCTGGCTTCCTAATCTCTGCAAAAGGGTCCTTGTTGCATAAAGTGGACAGTGGCCGACACAGTCCCACAATTCCTGTTACTTCAGACATCAGTTCTAATAGCTTACACTTTATCGGCATCAACTCTAGCCATAACAGATGGAATTGTACATGAGATTACATAGGCTGTTGATGTAATAAATTTGTCTTTATGACAAAACGCTATCATGTACTGCTTCTCTGATGGAATTGTGTAGTGTTTTCTACTAAGTCTAAAGGACACACTCTGAAGAATTAATGATACAGGAGGCATCTGAGGATACAAGAGGCTTAGAAACATTCTCCCTGGAAATACAAAGCTTGGAGAGAGGTTTTCAGGTTCACAGAGTGAACTGGGTCTAAGTGTTGCCATGACAACTAGAGAGCAATTTCAACAGAACTTCTGCCTTCTGATTGGCGGTGTGGTAGTTCATTTCAGTGCAAGACTGAATGTAGTTTTCTTATACTTTGGAGTACTAACTGAGAAGTTTTTGGGTGTGGTTTTTTTGTCTGTTGTTTTTATGAAAATGATATACTCTTTACCAGCCTACTGAATTTTTAAAAACGAAGACTTGCATTGTAAAAAGATGTTTGACATGGAGTTTCTAATTCACAAATTAGGAAATTAATCTGAATTGGACTTACTATGGATTCAATGCACACGTGAGGTTTCCTCATATTGCTACCTTAATGTGAATTGGACACCCGACTTGAACACAATCCCATAAAAATTTCTTCACAGCCCGTTTGAAATCACAACAGTGCAGCCCAACCTCAAGTAAACAATTGCCCATTCGCCAGTTATTGAACATATAGACTGAAAGCCAACAGACTTTTGCGTGTATGCACTTGCTTTTATAAACAAATTGTAGGTTGGAATAAGGAGCTCCTAGTTCATTACGCTGGAGATTGTCCTCGCTGTTGTAGGCTATTGAAGTGAGCCTCCTTCAAGATCTGGTTGATGCGGGAGTAAGGACCTTGGCACAGTGCATACTCCTCGTACCAGAACTGAGGGTTATTCCCGTTGGGTTCAGTAACGATCTGGTTTACGTTGCTTTCTGGTCCACTTGCTCTCTCTGGGCTGTTAACACTGCTGCTGCTCCTTTCATTACTGCTGCTTGAAGGCTGGAAGGAGAAAGACAGAGGGAGGATTCCTGTTGTGCTATTATAATATGTCTCCCACTTGCCTTAGAGAATAGCAGCATCAAACTCAATACTAGGCTTAACGGTTTACAAGGAACAGCCACTTAAGAGAGTGCATTCTATCTTCACAACAACCCTCTAATTACATTGGAATTAATAGCCCCCATTTTACAGCTGAGGAAACAACATCACTGATTCACCAAAGTCACATAGCTAGGAAGTGGCAGATGAGGATTCAAACATAGGCCTTCTAGTTCCAAAGTCCTTCACACATCTTCTGCCCCTGCTTGTACCATTTATTCCAATAACTGCATCAGAGAAGTTAAGTTCCCATCCTCCACAGGAAAGCACCAAATAACACTATGGGATGCAGTAAAATAATAACCATAAAAATAAGATGTATTTTTGGTACAAGTTAAAATAAACTTAATACATTGTTAGATACATACATTTATGCATACATACATGCATAGAGACATATAAGCACATGAATGATGATTTTGTACTTATGTCCTGATAGTGGACATATTACCATCCTCCTATATCAATTCAAGACTACACATATATCCTGAAAGGCATTTGACATACTTTTAATCAAAGTTATATGTTAATTATTTGCATTTTTCATGACTAGCATTCATTGTTCTTTTATATTTGTGCATTTGGTAGAATATGTGTGTATGTTTGCACTTAAGAATTTTTTTTGCACACAAATAATCTGATTTATTGAACTGATTTCCTTCAGCTAGATAAAGTAGTTGAGTCAATAGAAGATAGTAGACACCCTATCCCCTGCATGGGTCTTTTCTATTTCCTGTTATTCCACAATCCATATTTTTTTATTATTATTATTTTTAATTTTTTAAAATTCAGGATATTATGGGGGTACAAACATTTTGGTTAATGAAATGTGTTTGCCTCACCCAAGCCAGGGCTATAAGTGTGTCATTCCCCCATACAGTGTGCCCTGTTCCCATTAGCTGTGGGTTTACCTCTCCACCCCCTCCACCCCCTCCACTCCACACCCCCTCCCACCTGACCGGCACACAGTGAGTATTACTACCATGTGAGCAGCTTAGTGTTGATCATTTAGTTGCAATTTGATGGCGAGTACATGTGGTGCATGCTTTTCCATCCTTGTGATAGAATTTTTTTTTTTTTTCATTGAACTTACATGACTCAGAGTCTTTGTCATGTTGGAGAAGCTACTTAGGGTTCTCTGAAAGCAATCTTTTTCAAGCATTCCCCATCTTGCAATGTTAGGTTTCTCAAAGGAAAATGTGATGGTGAGGACTCTTATCTAAATTACACTATTTGACACTGTCAGTATTAAATTTTTTTTCCAGAGTTAACATTAAAATGTCTTAAACCAAGATGAGTCATAGTCCGTAGGTCATTTGGAGCCACTCAGCTTAGGTCCCAGACTACACAGTCCACAGATACCAAATGACAACCTTTGTTCCTCTTTATCCAATTGAAAACATATATTAAAAGAACTGTCCATGAGATGGGAGGGATCAAATGAAGTCAGATGTGAGAGTTATTCAGCAACAGCAATCAAATTGACTTAAGCATTAAATGTCAAGGCCAACTCAAACAGAAAATTCAAAAGAGTTATCTTCCTCGGCCTGAGGGTAAAACTCTAGAACCTCCACTATCACAGACTAGTGAAGTCATGAATATTCAAAACGCTATTAAGCTATTACATTGGATAAGAAACCGACCACACACAACTTTCTTTCCTATTAGTTGGCTTTCCTTATCGTTCTTTGTTTCTGAAAAATTAGGTAAGAAGTAGAAATCATTTCTGATGTATTAAATTTTCATCTCAAATGACAACATATCCATTTTACACTATAATGTAACACTAGAGTGATGATATGCTGTGAAAAGGTATAGTACATTAAAATCCACAGGCTAAAATGGATTTCTTCAGAATAATAATGAAGAAAAAAAGAGGTCTACCTCTAATTTCCGGTTCATTTAGAACATTTTTTTAATTCAATTGTGTAGAGACATATATACAAATGTTCATTAACACATTGTTTATACTATCAGCCCTTTTTCATAGCTGAAAACCAGAAATAACTAAATGTTTAAAAAACAAGGAAGTGGGAAAATTGTAGTCCGTCCACTCATACAGTATCTCATCTGCCATTAACAGTTATGATCTATTTGTAAATATATTGATAAATAAAGATGCCTTTAACATCACTGGAAAAGGTTACATATCAGTGTGCACAGATTTTCAAATGGTTTAAAATGTTTCTGTTTAATGTGTCAACATCTATACATACGTGTATATATCTTCACTTTCTAACTCATCTGCTACAAATACATTTCTTTTGTGAAAAAGAAACATTTTACTCATATGTAAGTAAACTAAAGAATGCTACTACAAGACCAAGTAAAATCTCCTGCTTTCGAATTCAGTTACCACTGACTTCAAACAGATTGAAACTGTGATGCCATAAATGAGATTTTAGAAAGAGTGTTTAGCATCCTTTACCCTACCAAAGACCATCTACAAAGCCACATACAGTAGTATTTTCTAGGCCAGTAATGCTATTTAACTAATAAACATAATTTATATCATGCAACTCAGGCTTTGTCACGCTTCCCCTTCTGAATGTACTTCACGCGTGATATCCCACTTAAGTAATTGTTTTATCATTAGATTGATTGGGAGGAAAAGTTTGCTTCTTTGATGGTGTATGGTTTTGACACTTGAAACTGCTATCTTAGCCCAGACAGAAGCATTTACCCTACTACACTTAATTTTAGAAAGATAGCAAATTCCATTACCAGAGCATAAATGAGATTTTTAAATGTTTCAGGATTGAGAAAGCCTGATTCCTCACAGAAACTTCTCATCAGAATGCTTATCCTTTCTGACAGTTACAAAGCTCATTCTTTGTTCTCTGAATTTTCAATGCAGGTTTAGTGCTGCTATCTGGGCAAGGCAAATGAAGAACAGAACCCTTGCAAATTAACACACACAGAAAAGTAAAATTACATTAATGAAGACTCGAGAAGGATATATCACTATGCAAAATTCACAGAGGTATTTCACAAAAATCCTGGGGTCCAAGTCTCTGTGAAAAGGCAGGATTTAGATTAGATGAGTCATACTGAAATCTGCATGCTTACCCCTAACCAAAAAAGCTTGGAGGCCGGCAGAGATTCGCCATTATATATTCTGTTTTGGAACAGGCATCAGGATCACCACTGGGGTTTTCTGACTGTTTGACTCCCTTACACATGCCAGGGCCCAACCTCTGAGAGGCTCTCAAGTAGGCCCAGGTTGTCTTGATGCCCAACCACTATCCACACAAATATATCCGTGTCTCCTGTGAACAAGAAGGTGCTTTGTCTGTGCTACTTAGGGATTCGAGAGGTAATCCCTGTTGAAGAAGAATACAGTACTTTGAGAAGGACAGCATTGAGATATTGCAATGACAAGACTGCAATACATTCAACGTAGTAGTGAACACTGACTGGGGAGATAGGGGAGCCTCCTGAAAATGAAAGCATCTGAACTAGGCCTTGGAGGGATGGGAATAATATTAATAGGAAGGGTGAGACAAATGGAGGGAACAAGAGCACATGAAGGCTGAAGAAGAGTTTTTGAGGAGACAAAGTTGGTAATATGATGCAGCTGGTGCTTCCCAGAGAAGAGTTAGTGGGAGACAAAATATGCAAGAGAAGATATGTCTACATTATCAGGGGCCTAAATGGCATGCTAAGAAGTCTGTAGGAACAGGTACATGAGCATAAGATACATGTTCAGATCTACATTTAGGAAGATGATTCTAATGGATGAATGGGGCAAGGAGAGAATGAGAGCACAAAGACCACCTGAGAAATTTTGCAATGTATGAAGCAAGAGGCAATGCAGGCCTGAATTAGGATGGTGGTAAGGGAAAGAATGGTATATATTTGATATACAGAGCAGTAGAACAGAAAAAACAGTCAGTGAGGAAAGGACAGAGACACCTAAGTTGACCCCAAGCACTCAGGACAAATGGAGGGTGCTCAGTAAATGTCTGTTGATGAAGTTATTAGCAAGTCCCAGATGTTCCAAACATAGAGTATAGTAGAGGAGTAGGTGGGGTTTAGTGAGTAGTTGCATGAAGGGAGGTGAGAAACAAAAGGCATTTAATACACATTACAGCTTGAATTCAGTGGGGAGAGAAAAGACACAGTACTTGAGATAAAAATAAGGTAGACACAAGATTAGTTAGGGAGTGGAAAGAGCTCCTTACAGGCTACTGAAGGAAACAGTGGATAAATAGAAAACAAAGAGATGAGGAAGAATATTAATTATGGGATGTCTTCAGAAAAACAGAGCAGGAAATCTTGTGTCTATTTATGACAGAGAATTATATAACTCTTCTTAATTGGAAAAGCAGATGAATCCAGTATTTTACTCTCTCGAGCCCCAGCTTTCCTCTCAACTCCATCCCCCCATGCCTCGGAGCTTTTCACTTATGTGAACCCTAAGAGAAAAATAAAAACTTCACTCCTAGTACACATTCCATCCCTGGAATAGTAACGGGATGTTACTCTAAGGCACCTGCAAAACCTAGAGTAAACAAAACAGATGATCCTAACCAAGTCCATTGGAGCACTTAAGCTATGTGTTCCCAAAGTTCCAATGCATTTAAAATGGCAGGCCCACATTCCTTAGTACCACTGAAACATTGTGGGAGCATATGAACCATAAGATACAAAATTAATTAGCTGCTGAATGACAACCACTTTCCATATTAGCCAGGAAATGATATTCATGTGTTAACTTCTCTGAGCCGAGGGGTAAATAATCTAAACTTTCTGTAGCTCGGTCTCCCTCATAGATGAAGTTGGAGCAGACAGTGAGTTCTATGTTGTTTTGCAGCTCAAAAATTGAATTTATAACAGAATCTATACAAATAGAAAAAAATCTATACAAATCACCTTGTTTCAACTCAGTAAATGGGATTTGAATAAACAACAATAACAAAAACAAACATAAAAAGATAACCTGCAGAAAAATATTTGTACAAGTTTTTCTGTAATTCATTAAAACAACTGAGATTTTAGCATTCAGTTGCAATATGAAAGTGCTTGGGATGCTTAATATGCTCCAGGAACAATGCTTATTAAAATGCATGCAACAGATTAGGCCAGCTTTGGAAAAGCTTGTCCCTCCATTTTGAATGCATCTTTTAAGTATAAATAAGCTAATTTTAGAAGGCTCCCATTTTGCCATCAGGTTTGGTAACACATATAATAACTATTATTTTGTTTAACAACAGTTTTATCCCCAAAAAAGTGTTCCAAAGCAGTTTTCTTAGAATTTATGTGATCAAAGGCAAAGAGCATGGCCCGAAATGCCTAAGAACCTAAGAGAAAAAGCTCATCAAAAATTTTTGTCAAATGTTCCAGCTGTCATCTGAATTGATACTACTTAAAATAGTGACCTGACAAGGAAACAGTTCCTACCAGTTGAAAAGGAATCAGGGATTCATATCTCTACCTTTCAATCTATATGGGGGGGGGCGGTCTCTGGTTCTGTTTTTCTCTCACTTGTCTTATTTCTGCTGCTCCCTTGAAATTCTAGCATTAGCACATAAAATCTCTTCCTATTCTAGTAGAGAAGAGAAAAAGGCAGAGATCTATCCCAGGTAAGCCACTTGTGTTTATATCTTTGTAAGTTTTCACTCTCAATTTTTTGTACTACTCAGTAATCTGAAAAATAAAATGAATGTTCCTAGAAAGTATGATAGATTTGTACAGACACATTTGGGTCTTTCTGTTTTCAGTTTTTATAAGTCTCATACATATATACTAGGGGACTTACAGGAAAAGTGATGATATAATTTGTAAAGATGTAAGTTTGACAGTAAAGAGTAATACTCTTATATGTGCAAAGATATTCAACAAAAAAGTCAAGTACCTGAGAGCCAATTATAGAATTTAAATTAGTTACATTTTAGTCATCATGGTAGCTGCCCAGGATCTCAGAAAATCACTACCTTTTTAGGGGTCCCAGGAGGAAGATTCTCAGAAAAGGGAAAAGTGAACTATACTTAGTTATTATCTAATAGGATTCATCCAGACAGATTTTACAAGGCTCATTTAATACTCTATTAGTAATTTATACATCAATTAAAACAATACTGGCCGAGCACGGTGGCTCACGCCTGTAATCCTAGCACTCTGGGAGGCCGAGGCGGGCGGATTGCTCAAGGTCAGGAGTTCAAAACCAGCCTGAGCGAGACCCCGTCTCTACCATAAAAATAGAAAGAAATTAATTGGCCAACTAATATATATATAATATAAAAATCAGCCGGGCATGGTGGCTCGTGCCTGTAGTCCCAGCTACTCGGGAGGCTGAGGCAGGAGGATCGCTTGAGCCCAGGAGTTTGAGGTTGCTGTGAGCTAGGCTGATGCCACGGCACTCAGTCTAGCCTAGGCAAGAAAGCGAGACTCTGTCTCAAAAAAAAAAAAAAAAAAAACAATACTATACTAATAAACACTAGTCATTAAATTTAAGTCCTCTAGAGTGAAATCAGGCTCTTCAGTTCGAGCACTATTAAAACTTTGTGAAATCACTATAACCCCCACCACACTACAAATCTCCTTTTCAATTTTCTTAGCTAGAAATCAAGAATTTCCCTCCAGCGAATAGTATATAATTATGTTCTTTAAAATATATTTTCCTTCTAAAATTAAGAGGAGTAATATTATAATTCCCTGCTACCATGACTGGAGACAGGTCCAGGACCTTCCTCCCAATTATATTTAGCAATGGATTTTGGTGCTTTCTTTCCATCTTCCATGTGATACTGTATATTGTGGTTAAGAACTCCAGCTCAAAGGCCACTGCAATCAAGTAAGAATACTTTTATGAAGATTTCTTGAAATGACAGACCCATAGCCAACATCATACTGAATGGGGAAAAATTAAAAGCATTCTCATTTAGAACTGGAACCAGACAAAGCTGCCCACTATCTCCACTTCTATTCAACATAGTGCTGGAAGTCCTGGCTACAACAATCAGATAGGAAAGTGGAATTAAAGGTATCCAAATAGGGGCAGAAGAGATCAAACTTTCACTCTTTGCTGACGATATCATATTATATTTAGAAAACCCCAAAGATTCAACCAAGAAACTCCTGGAACTGATAAATGAATTTAGTAAAGTCTCAGGATACAAAATCAATACACAGAAATCAGAGGCATTCATATACGCCAACAACAATCAAATTGAGAACCAAATCAAAGACTCAATTCCCTTCACAATAGCAACAAAGAAATTAAAGTACCTAGGAATATACTTAACCAAGGAAGTAAAAGACCTCTACATGGAGAACTATGAAACACTGAGGAAGGAAATGATACATTTTTTAAATTGCAGAGCACAAATTACATAATTTAGTTCAGGCAATGAATGAAATAGAGGTTATCTAACTATACTTCCTACCTTTATATCCTGAGAATCCTGAAAGACAGAGTTTCTTTTATTTCTTTTGGACTGTGGGGAATGTTGGTTGTCCTCTTTACTGGCATTCCTTCTTCTTTTCCTAAAAATAAAATGCAAAGAGAGGGGGAAAATCATTCAACAATTGATCTTCTGGACTCTTAAATTGTATTTAAATCTGAAATCTTGTCTGAGAAAATATAAGTCATTGTCTGCTATTACAATAAAGTTGGGAGCATAAATCACCAGGTACTAAGAAGAAAAATATAAAACAGGAACTCTAAATCAAGTCAAAATGTAAGTTTAATTTCCAATATTTAACTTCATAATTTTAATTAATACTTGGGAATAAAAACAGGAAGAGCCACACAGCTAAGTATTCAAAATCTACCTAATTAGGTTCATCATCTTCATTCCCTGAAATTACAAGTCCAAGTTATGTGATTTTAACCCCTTCCATAAGATAACACTTAAGACGTATGTTTGCCAGTGTCTATTTACTATTAAGGTCCTTGTACAAGTGGTCTAGGGACACTGAAGACATTTCTTGTGTGCTGTTAGATAACAACTGTTGCTATACCAGGTAGTATTATGACATAGTAGTTACTTCACTTAATTGTCACCATGAGATTGTGGCTGATTACTTCTTTGAAACATTCTTTCCTCAAAAATGTTTTTAATACCATTCATTCATCCACTTAAAACGGGTGGATTGTATGGTATGTGAAATATATCTCAATAAGGTGTTATTTTAAAAATGTATTTAATGATTGGTAAGAGTACATCTTTAGCCTCAAGTCTCCTCTCAGCAAGTAACCAGATTGCAGTGTTTGATATTGCTATTTTTGCAGACATCCTGTTATTGATCAGTCATTCTCCCCAGCCATCTACTTAGATTACTTTTTAAGTGTATGATACTTCTAAGGACTCCTGAATCTACTCATTTTTATAATTTAATTTCTTTGTAATCTTCCTTTTATGACTGGGTGACTAAGCACAGAGGGAATCTTGGAGATCATGTAAACCAGTGGAATTCAAATTCTTTATTAAAATAAAAAAATCTTTTATACAAAATGAAATTCCAATACATAACAGAAAAAAGACAACTTACTGTGCTGGGAACAGGGGCTCTTTAACCACACCCCTCCCTGGATCTGCCTCCCTGTGCCACCTACTAACTTAGCCTGATGTCTCTTCTTTAAAAAATGAGGAAACAGCAGGCCCAGAAAAGCAAAGTGACTAGATAGTGAAATAAGTAAGGCTGGTGGAGCTGGGACCAAAAGGGAAGTTCTCTTGAGGCCTGGCTCAAGGCCCTCCATGAGACCCTACAGGAAAAGAAAATTAGTGAAGAATCATATATCCAATCAAATAACATCTTTATGGCAAAAACAAGTTGCCAGCACAAATGAATTCAGATTATTTGCATACAGTGCTATTTAAAAGAAAGCTTTTTCTGTAGGAGATATGAAATATGTGATTTTTTTTTTTTAGGTATATGAGATATGCCAAAGCAGCATCAGAAATATAAGCTGGACTTGGGGAGAGAAAGAACATTGCAGTAAGATCTGGCTTGCTTCAAACATACTGTTTACTGTTAAATGACTGTGTTCCTAATTCCAATAGTAATGATAACTGGGTCCCTAAATTCATATTTGGTGTATTCTTCTTTATACCCACTCCCCACATGTCATTACATGACTTTGATCAATAATCCAATGCAGCAAGCTACACTGTAGGTTTTTAACACTGGATCAAATAACCTTGGAATGCCCTCCAGAATCTCATTCTATAAACTGACTATGATGCAGGGTAGGGTCCTTGTGGAAAGACAGCCAATATACTGACAGCTGTTCAAAAGATGGAGCAACAATAAAAGATCCACCATACCTACCAAGGAAATTCTGTGCTAGAATTTACTAACTTAAATCTTACTGAAATTATTATTGAATGAAGGAAAGAACTTTGAACCTGAAAAGACCTGGGTTCTGTCCTGAGTCTGTTACCAACCAGCTAATGGCCTTCAGTAAGTCAACTGATCAGGCCGAGGCCAATAAAATTGATTTTTAATAAATGCTAATCACATGGGCAAATGGTGAAAATAAAATGGTAAATGGAAAATAATCAAGTAGAAAATGGTTGTTATAATCTAGTGCTATAAAAGCACTGACTCTCTCTCTCTATATATATACTGTATTGATAAAGGCCCATAAAACCCAGGACAACTTGGGGAAAGAAAATGACAAGACTTTTCAAAGAAGCAGAAATGCAAGTTGCTAGGGTACCTAGGCAGCCCCATGGGAGAAATGCCAATTTGAAAAACAAAAGGGTTTTGTCCCCAGGCGGTTAAGTTTCTGCAAGGGACCCTCCAGAAGGGGGCAGCCCCAGCCCCAAGACCTGGCTGGCACGGACACAGGAAGAACCAGCATCTTCTCCCGGAAAAGGTTCCTCAGCACTTTTTCAAGCGCAAAAGGCGGGGCGAGGGGCGAACAGGGCCGCTCCACGGCGCAGCCCTGCCATCTGCAGGCCAGGGAGACCGAGAGCCACCAACCCCAGAGGAAAATCCATCTTTTCCGCTGCTTTTCTGCCCAGAGCCCGAAGGTTTTGGCTAGGGAAGCCAAGTAGGATGAAGACGAGGACCAGAGAATGGACCGCTACCAGCCGGAATGGCCCCGGCGAACCGACCCCTGCACGGAAGCTTCCCTAGTTCCGCCCCCGGAACCATGGCAACAGCAGCAGGAAGTCCCAGCGCCACCGGATATGCGTGCTGGAGGGACAGGACTGGCCTAGGATTGGCGGGTTCTGGACCTGCGTATTGGAGCCAAGTGAGGTCAGTGCCAGTCTCACCCCTGCTGGCCCCTTGGAAGTTTCCTTCTCTAGTCTGTTGTTAGCTGGCGCCTAAGGGATGGGACCGGTGATATCCAGGACCTCGGGTACGATGCCCCAGCTGCCCCACGTTTGAGACCTATACCAATCCTCTGTCATTCTTCTCTCAACGTCACACGTAAAGCATTCACTGTTTTCCTTTCAGCCCTTTGTCCTCTGATCCTTCCTGGCGACCTCAGCGACCACGAGGCCGGCCAGGCTACCACCAGAGCCACTATGTCTTCAACAATGTTGTCATTCTTTCCACCTAAATCTCCCCGCCCAGGGTCATGCCCTGAGCCTCAGGGAAGACTGCGCCCCTCCATGATGCCCTATTTTTGCATACCCTCCCATCATCAGGTGGACTACCTCCTGTCCTTCCAGATCCTTCCCCTACAGCTTTCTGCCTCATGGAGGCCTTCCAGTCCACTGACCACACCACGTTCCTCACCATCACCAGGCCCTTCCTTACCTAGCTTACAATTTCCTTACCCAGAGCTATAAACACTTTTCTTCAAACACACCTTCTCTGCTCCTTTTTCCCATCTTCCTACCCTCCTGGCAACAACCCAGTAATGGACAAAGTGTCTGCATCCTCAACACCTGTATCTTCTCTCTCCTTTACTTACATTAACCCAAACAAGTACTAGCACTAACTCTTCTCATGATATTCACTGATAATTCATTGAGAAGACAAGCAATCAGACAGGAACGCTCACCACTTCCCAATGAAGCTGGATCTGCACTTGTGATCTCTGTTTCCTCACTGGAGGAAGTAACCTAATCCTATTTGAGGCCAGGCTCTTGAGGAAGATTTTCTCCTTGACCAAACTCTACTCAGGCTCCTCTGAACTTTCTTCTCAACTAGGTCCTGACTATTTTGGCTTCAGGTTGGCCTCTGCATTATTTACTTGTATTTAGTTAGTTAGTTAGTTAGTTAGTTAGTTAAAGACAAGGCCTCACTCTGTCACCCAGGCTACAGGACAGTGGTGTTATAGCTCACTACATCCTCAAACTCCAGGGGCAAGCATTGTTTAATTTTATCAAGAATCCTGTTAAGTCAATTTAGCCAGAATCTCCTATCCTTGATATCTGATTGCCCTCGATATCTAATCAGGTTCCTCATCTGCCACTGTCTTGCAGGTGTTGCTAATCATCCTGCCTGCCTTTAGCAAGAATCCAACCTTACCCTGATATTTCCTCTTAGTAATTTTCTATTCACTGACCCTCACCTTGCTCCTTAGCAATAAATTCCCACTTTTCCTTGTATTTGAAGTTGAGCCCAATCTCTCTCCCTCACTACAAAACTCTCTTGTTAGTGGTCCAGTGGTTATAAATAAACTGTCTTGTTTTTCTTTATCAAGTGTCATGAATAATTTTTTCTTTAACAGTTATGGTATCTGCAACTTGGATAGGATCAGATTCATCATTGGACACCCAGTCCTCTCACCTAGGTCCCAAAGTGTACACCTTTGAAGCCTTTGTCTTCACTTCTGACTAATTGATCCAGAATCTATTGGTGAGTCAGATCCCTGAACCACTGCTACAGACAAATGTTTGTTGAAGCTGGTAAGGACAGATTTTCATTTTTAAGATTCTGAGTGTACTCTTTACAGTTGGGTTAGAGACCCAGGCTTCTTCATTTGAAAGATATGCTGGGCTGAAGTCTCTCTGGCTCTTTGTTTGAAGTGAGGATGATTCATTCCCTGACTCTTGGGCTTGGTTATGGGCTGGAAAATTCTTCCTGGCTCTCTTGTTTCAAGTAGGGATCCACTCCTCAACCTCTAGGCCAGAAAATTTTTTTCCTGGCCTTTTGTGAGCCCTGTCTTTTCTTTCTATCTGACACTGTTTCTCCCATGGGAACTTCTCGGTCAGCTGTAATCCTCTTCTTGAATCCCTGCTGACTATATGCACTGGCAGCTCTGTCCACCTCCTTCTTGTTGGCATGATATTGCTGAGGATAAGTTGGAACCTCAGTGGCCTTGGAGGAAACTTAAGATTTCCCCAAGCTGGTTTCTCTAAGACCTCTCCCTTCTCATCACCTCCATTTTTCCTTTCTCTTCTTACCACTTTCAGTATTCTCTTCAGCTTCCTTGAGTTCTTTGATATGTGCCCCTCAAACCCCTATCTCATCCATCCCTTTGCCCACACCTGCTAGACTTCTCCCTTCCCACTTCAGCCCCTCAGCTCCCTACAGTCACTTGAACTTTAGGTGCCCTGCCCCCATCGGGAGCTTTCAAGGGACTCAGGATCTCACAAAAGCAAGTACCTGAGGCTGAAAAGGAAAAAGGCTAATTAGAAATATAATATTTTATTTACTGAGATCAGCTTACTGTCTACCTTGTCTAGAGGGAGACATCTAGACAGCTGCTTAATGTATCCTTAGTCTCTCCCCTAAATGTAGTCCGTGGCTTCCACTAGATTACATATCAGGGCAAAAGAAAATATTTAAGGTCTCCTCTCCAAATATTTGTAACAAAAAGCTTTAGGCCTTATTAAGTTGGTAACCTCAACTTGTCCAATTTTTGTTAGAAACACAATTTCAATAAAAATATAAAGTACAATCACTTCATTCCTGTTAGAATGGCTATTATCTAAAAGATGAAAGATAACAAGTGTTGGCAAGGATGTGGAGAAAAGGAAAGCCTTCCACACTGAATGTAAAGTAGTGAATGTAAAGTAGTATAGTCATTATGGCAAACAGTATGGGGGTGCCTCAAAAAACTAAAAATAGAACTAACATATGATCAAGCAGTCCTACTTCTGGGTATATATCCAAAGGAAATGAAATCAGTATGTCGAAGAGAGATATGTACTCCCATGTTTATTCCAGCAATAATCACAATAGCTAAGATGTGGGATCAACCTAAATTGGATGAATGGATAAAGAAAATATAGTTATACATAAACACAAGGAATACTATTCAGCCTTAAAAAGGAAGGAAATCCTGTCTTTTGCAACAACGTGGATGAATCTGAAAGACATGTTAAGTGAAATAAGCCAGACACAGAAAGACAAATACCACATGATTTTACTTATATGTGGAATCTAAAAAAAGTTGTACTCAGGTAGAGAGTAGAATAGTGGTTAACAGGGGCTGATGGGAAGGTAAGGAATTAGGGAGATAATTGGTCAAAGGATACAAAATTTCAGTTAGGATGAATAAATTCAAAAGATCTATTATACAACATGATGACTATAGTTAATAACATGTATTCTATTTTGAAAATCATTAAAAGTGTAAATTTTAAGTGTTCTCACCATAAAAAATATTCAGTAATGCATATGTTAATTAACTCAACTGAGCCATTCTACAGTGTATACATATTTCAAAACTTCATATTGTATACAACAAATATATAATATTATCAATTTAAAAATAAAGGAAAAGAAAAAATATATATCTCTATCTCCACTGTACATACACACACAAACACACACACATATATAGTAGATATAAACCAGTGAGTTTTGTATTACTATGTTGCCTGATTCGTGAGTAAAATTTTAGGATGAAATCTATATGATCAATTTTTTCATCAGTTCATATGTTTATGCATATATGTTTATATATATATATATGCCTGTTATATATACATGATATTATTCTACCTCCAGATGGTATTACCAAATTAAATTATAAAATACCTTAATGGAGTTCTACTCAAATTTGCTTAGAGATAAATGAGTGTGTATATAAATTAAATATTCCCCAAACTCCCAGAAATATAGAAACCCATGACACACTTTCCAAATTCACATGTCTTGGATAAATCTTTGGAAATTAAGACTGGTTTAATATTGTTAGCTTAATAAAAATAGCTGTATCTTCTGAGTTATCAGCATTAAGTATAATATCAACATACATTTTTATTGTTGGTTTTACTAGTCAAATAAAGTTAAAAATAATTAACAGGGAAATAATTTGAGATGATGGCTAGCTTCATTTGGTGTTAAAATTCTGGCTGTTCCAGAAGAACAAGGAAAAAAAATGGGACAGAACCAGAATGGATATTAAAAAGTTGTAGAAAGTTTGTGGAAAAGGAATTTTGTGTGTGGTCAAGTTGGCTAAGATTTTGATGGATATTTATAAATTTATTATAAAATGAACATCAATATTATACTGATACAAAACTAGAATGACAAAGTTTTCTTGGATTATTGGTCTGTTCTTAATAAGACATTGTAAAAGGTTTTTCTTTACCTTTTAAGTAATCTGCCTGGGAAACCAAGATTTCATGTCTTATCAGAATAATTTCTCGTGCTTTATGCTAACTTTTATCATGTTCTAGATTATTTAGGAGAACCTCAGTATTGTTTCATAGTGATTTGTGATCCTGTTTAATCAAGTGTTCAAATCTTTGGTGTTTTTGACAACATCACAAAATCAAATCCTAAATAAAATCTTGTTCTTGAACTGACTTAGATTTCTTAGAGGGCCCCTGGACAATCTCAAAGGATTTGTTCTTTCACCTTTTAAGAGAAATGTTAAAAATGTTTGGTATATTTGATATGTTGAATTTCATGAAAAGGCATTGTCAAGTAAAGAAGGGATACTTAACATTTCCCTAGGTTATAGTTATATGAGTAAAATGATGTTTCTGAAATTGTATGAGTTCCTAAAAATTTGTCAATATCTTTCCTGTCTATGACATATCGTGATATAATACTATAAGT